TTTTAATGCAGGTAAATTAGAAGGCATCAGCTCTTTCACTTTAAGAGACGGCTGACAAAAATGGGGTGGTGAATCTGTACAGTTATAGTCTCCTGTGACCTGCAGGAGACAGAGTACCCTTTTAGGGTCCTAACCAATTTTCCACAGGAACCCAAAACCCTGCTCTTACTAAAACCAGTTGCCATAAAGTTGACCCCACCTCATGGAGACTCCATGACAGGTAGAGTAGAATTGTGCTCCAAAGAGTTTTCAGTGCCTTATTTTTTGGAAGTAGGCTGTCAGCCTTTTCTTCTGACACTCCTCTGGGTGGACTCAGAACTTCCAGCTTTTCAGTTAGTAGTTAAGTGTGTATTTCTCTAAACAGCCCAATCTCTTAGACTATTGAAACTAAGAATTGTGTTTCAAAACCTGTTTTTGTAGCTTTCAGTGAAAATGCTCATGGCATAAAGTGAAGTCTCAAAGCTGAGAATGGTGTATTATCTGTCTTCCCAGATTCTTCACTTAAAATTTGATTAAAGAAGTAGTAACCTTTGAGGACTTGTCCTTTTAGTTTCAGAGGGTTAATTCTGCCTCTGCTTTTTTTTTTTTTTTTTTTTTTTATCCCAACTTCTAACTCAGAGTTTTCAGAAGTGGAAACTTTTAAAGAAAGTCTATTCTCAAGACAAAAAACGTTTGAGAAAGGATGTCTTTGTGGATGACATGATTCTACACACATCCTGCTCCAGTGAAATTGTCCTATAAAGTCCAGTAACCTGCATGAACTTGTTTTACTTGGTGATTTCTGTTAAATTTAGCTGAAACTGTAATTTGTTATCATTCTTAAGTGATTCCTATTACTAAAAGGAAAAAAAATGATTTTTCTTTTTTTTTTTTCAGTAAGAAATGTTTCTCATAGATAAAAATTCTTTAATATGTAGAAAAGCATTTGTTATTGTTAGGTGCCATTGCGTCATGTCCAACTCATAATGACCCTGTGTACAACGGAATGAAATTCTGTCCAGTCTTGTGCCCTCTTCACAATCGTTGCCATGCTTGAGCCCATCATCACAGCCACTGTATCACTGAGGGTCTTCTTCTTTTTTGCTGACTCTCTACTTTACCAAGCATGATGTCCTTCTCCAAGGACCGGTCCCTTCTGACAACATGACCAAAGTATGAGAGATGAAATCTGGCCATTTTTCTTCTAAGGAGCATTCCCACTGTACTTCCTCCAAGACAGACTTGTTCATTCTTCTGGTAGTCCATGGTATGTTCGATATTCTTCACCAACACTGCAATTCAAATGCATCAATTCTGCTGTGGTCTCCCTTATCCATTGTCCACCTCTCACAAGCATATGAGGCTATTGAAAACACCATAGCTTGCGTCAGGTGCACCTTAGTCTTCAAAGTGACATTGTGCTCTTTAACACTTTAAAGAGGTCTTTTGCAGCAGATGTGCCCAATGCAATACATCATTTGATTTCTTGACTGCTGCTTCCTTAGATGTTGACTGTGGAATCAAGCATTTAGAATTATTTTAATATTCCACGTTTAAGAAAGCATCCTTAGAAGTGATTTTCTGAACATGGTTTAGATTCAAAGACCTTTTGTGTCCTTCCGGAAAAAATGAATGTTTCCTCATGGAAGATACGTGTTTTCATAATGCACAGATTGTTATTGCTAGACATGCCTTAGAGAGCATGTTGGATACTGAGTGCAGCAAGATATTGAAGAAAGGGAAATTTGAAAATATTTTTAAGTCACCAACTTCACTCTATCCTTAATTATTCTGCCAGATATATATTTTTTTAATTTTTATTTTGATTTGGATGAAAATTTACAGAGCAAATTCATTTTCCATATGGCAACTCACCTACACTTTGTCTCATGACATTGACTGCAATTTACCACAATACAACAGCTCCCCTCCCACTTCCTCCCTATAGTTACCTCTTCCCTGTGTCCTTTACTTCATGCACTCCTGCCCCCTGAGCTGTCTCCCTGTGCATATACTGCCCTTCTGTTCTCCCATGATTGATCTCTCCAAGGAGTGCATCTACCTAATGAAAATTTTCAGTTTACATGCCTGTCTTGTTTGGCTGGGAGCCACAGGAGTGGGTTCAATTCCAGACCTGAAGGGCAGCGAGGAGCCATAGTCTCAGGGCCTCCACCAGGCTCTGTCACACCAGCATACCTGGTCCTTTGTATGTGTGTGTGTGTGTGATTTTGAATTTTGTTCCACATTGTTCTCCCACTCTATCCAGGATCTCCTACATAGATCCTCCTCCAAGTGGTTGACAGTGGTAGCCACTAGTGGCACCATCTAGTTCTTCTGGTCTCATAGTCATATAGGCTGAGGATCGCATGGTGTACCAGTTGCTTGGACTAACTGTTTCCATGAATCTTTGGTTTTCTTTACTCTTCTTTGCTCTGGACGAGGAGAGACCCATGATTGCATCTAGATGGCTGCCAAATATTTTTGACCTAATGTCTAGTCTCAGCAAAATTATCTGTTAAATATCACCTAAATATGAATCCATCTTAAATTAGGCTCATAACCTTTAGTAACTGTGCTGTTGATCTCTGTGAAGTATATTTGGAAGAATCTTGTTTATATATTATAATGAATTTGTTCATTCATTCATTCTCCCATTTTAAAATATTTGAGTGCCTACCATGTACAAGACATGGTTTTAAATGCTCTAAATATGATGACTGACCACAGTTTCCTCAGAAAGCTCATAGTCTGTTAATCAAGATAATACTTCTAAATAAATAACTGTAACAAATGTGGAAAACAACAGGGATCCTAAGATAGGTACAGACAGCAGCTATGAG